AGCCAAGTATAGTAGAAAGAATGTTGGAATCTGATGAGACCTGCCTCTGATGCTTTACTAGCTGTGTGACCCTCAGCAAATCATTTAATATCTCTGAGCCTCAGTTTCCTTATTTGTAAATAGGAATAATGATACTTGGAGTGTTTACTTGGAAGAGATATATGTGAATAGGCACAGACCTGAGGTTTCACTGAACTGCAGAAGGTAGCTGGGTTTCAAAGAAAGACAGGGAAACCAGGAGGTGGAATTGAGTAGAGAGAGCTTTCCAGGCATGGAGGATAGCCAGTGAAAATGCCCAGAGGCAAGAGATGGAGTATTTTGTGCAAGACCAGGGTCACTTGAGTAAAGAGTATATGTAAGAAGATTGGAAAGGTAAGGGGTTGGGGAGGATGTTATGAAGGGCTTTGAACACCAAAGAGAGGATTTGATATTTGATTTTAGAGGCTATAGATTGGAGTTCATTGATAGAAGGGTGACATGGCCAAGAATGAGAAGTGCTAAGGCTAAGTGAGAAAACAGTAAGGAGATGGAAGCAGGGAGAAAAAAGGATGGCCATCATCCCTTGAGTTGTGACCCATCTTACCATGGCATTGTAATTGTAGATTATCTCCCAGGCCCAACTATGATAAATTAGAGGGCTGATGGTAGCCCAGTGAAGCTTAGACCCTCCTACTGACATCAAGTGTGATGTTAGTACCTCAACACCACCCAGAACTTGAGATTTGCCTTTCAGGTAAAGCAAGGCCTGTGGGAGACATCACTAGCCCAGGCATTAGGATGAAGCAAACATGGCAAGTCCCAATACACCTATCTCTGTCCCCATAGTTTGAGAATAGTTCTATTATAGTTCCACTATATATATATCACATGCATATAATATACATAATATAGTTATAGTTTTACAGTTAGAGACTGAGGGCTTGTAGCCCTACTTACTTAAGTGCTGAGAGTCAGAATGGGAATCATGAGAAGAAGAGATTTGAGATAGTAATTGTGGTTACATATCACGCATTTCACATTATCTATTTTTGGAATGGTGGTGCTTTCTGTTACAATTGTTTTTATTCTCACTATCACATGAGGTCATGGGATAAATTTTGACTAATCTAAAAGAGGAGATTCACACAGATAAACAGGATAGCTTTGAAAGTTACAGGTTGAATTTGTTGTGTACTTTAAAAAGAACAGCAAGCTTTGCAAAAGAGATTTGTAGTTTCATGTATTATCTTCTGTATTCCACTATGTATATGGGGATACTCATTTTATTTGGTGTTTAAGTTCAGAATAAAAAAAATTCTAAAAAGAAAATGAAGGAAGATATTTGATGGGTGGGGGTTTGGAGCATTATTGTTAATAGTTTGGAATCCCAAACTGGAAAGATTCCAAAGGCAGCTATTTGGGACCCTATGCCAACCTTAACTCTTAAAAATGCCAGTTATATGGGGCAGCTAGGTGGTGCAGGCACTGGCCCTGGAGTCAGGAGGACCTGAGTTCAAATCCGGTCTTACACACTTAACACTTACTAGCTGTGTGACTTCAGGCAAGTCACTTAACCCCATTGCCTAGCCATAAAAAAAAAAAGAAAAGAAAAAAATGCCAGTTATTTATAAACGCCTGTTATCATGATCCCTCTTTAGTCCTTGTCACAGAAGATAACACAAGTATAATATTTTTGAAAGGTGACTTGATGCAGTGCCATTTTGAGTTAATTTGATTAAAAGTTGCATATCATTTGGTCATAACAAATAAAAAAATAATGATTTATGATATTAGCAGCATAGTGTAGCAAGTAGAATAAATGAAGGACATGGAATCAGAAAGACCATCTCTAAGAATAGCTTTGTGGCAATGGGTCAGTCACTTAACCTCTCTGAGCCTCAGTTTCCTTATCTGTTAAATGGGAATAATTAAACCTCACTGAATTGTTGTGAGTTTCTTCAATCAACTTGATGAAATTATAGGAAATGATGGCCTTTGTTTGGAAGTATCTGAGAAGTATACCTCCTCCACCCCCCACTCCCATGGTAGGCATATGCACTGGTTCCTTGCTAAAGCCCTAGTGATCAGGGCTTACCTCAAGGTAACTGGTGATTGAAGAGAAGATAAATTCTATTTTGGACATGTTGAATTTGAGATGTCTACAGGACAGGTGGGGAGAATGTCAGAGGGACGTTGGATGAGTGAGAAGGGGTAAAAGGAGAGGTCTTGGTAATGGCTTCAGCCTTTTTTTGTTGAAGTATGAGGCAAAGTCTTCAGGTGAGTGGGTGAAAGGATTGTTATGTTGGGGGGAGGGGTGGTGAGAAGAAAAAAGGTTTGAAATAGCTTCTGTAGTAGTGGAATAAATAGAAAATTGATTAGGAAGGAGTAGAAGGATCTCTTTACTATAGTGAGGGCACATTTGAGAATATGTAACATAAATTTTAGCAGACCCCAATTAACACGTTTTTGTTATTTTCGCAAGCTCCATCCAACAGCATTTTAATAGAATGGAAAGTGGTGGATGGTGGGAATAATTCAAAGTTAGGGTTTGGCAAGGCATGATCAGCAACAGGACAAGAGGGCAAGGAATTCAAGTATATAGAGAATAATGTAAAGTCAAACTGATGATCTGATTCACCAAGGGGTTAGGATAAGGAAAAGATGCAGGTGTAGCCAACACAGAAGTGATGAACTGGGAAAGAACTGAGGGACAGAGGAATTTAAGGTCATGGTGATGATGAAGAACAGAGTTAGGGGACTTAAGGAGTAGAGAAAGATGCAAGCTTGGGGTTGGGGGTAAAAAAAAAAAGCCTTGGTAACTGCTTGGAGGGAAACAAGGAATGATAAAAGATTATGAGCAGATAAAGGAATGTGGAGCTCACAAACATGGAAGTGGAACATTTGTGGGTGATAGTAGAATTAATTAAGGGTATGACTATCTCTGTGTATAGTTGGGGTAGAGTGGAAGAGTAGTTCATGAGATGGAAGGACTTGGAAATTAAGGGAATTGAAGGTAGCATCAACATGGCTGTTAAAGTCTCCCAGGGCCAGAATAGTCGAGGACAGAAAGACTGTGAGCCAGGAAGTAAAGAAAATATCCTGGGTGGGGGTGGGGAGTGGTCAGTAGATAAAGGCTAGTAGACTCTGACAAATATGGACCGCATGAACCTCAGAGGAGGGGAGGTTTTGAAAGAGGGAGGATTTGAGGGAGAATTTGAAAGTGGCAATGGCGAGCAAGGAGTATTCCAACTATCCAACCAACAAGTCCGAGGACATTAGTCAACGTGAAACCAGTATTGGCAAGGGTGGGCAAGGATTGCCATCAGAAGGGGGCTAAGTCTCAGTGATTGCCATAAGATAAGAATGAATGAGAAAGGAACAGGTTTAAGATGAAAGGAAGTTTGCTAATTACGGAGCAGGGATCCCAGAGGACTTAGGAGGGTCTACAAAGGTCTGGAGTGGGATGTTATATGAATGTGGAAGAAGAGGGGGAGAACAGAATAGAGGGAGGATGGGAATAAAGAAGTTGGTCATTGGAGATGAGGAAAAGAGTTTGCACATAGGCAGCCAAGGATTTAGAATCATTGGACTGGGGAGTTACGTGAACCACTGACAATGAGTCCGGAAAGAGGATTTGTAGTTCAGGGCTGGGGACCCTGGGGCCTCATGGCCACATGTGGCCCTCTAGGTCCTCAAGGGTGGCCCTTTTATGTGTGTAAAGTTTGGATTCAGTCAAAGGGATGCACTTGAGGATCTAGAGGGCCACACGTGGCCTTGAGGCCACAGGTTCCCTACTCCTGCTGTAGTTGGAGAGATATCCATCAAGGGAGGCAGATGATTAGACTGTTCAAAGTTCTCCCTCAAGGTTCAAATCTCTAGGCAGTTGTTGGGGCCTGGGTCTGGTCCAGTCTCTGCCAGGACTGGGAAAGGCCTGGAGCAGAAGAAGAAATTCTGGAGGTAGGTGGACTGAATATGAATGAGCTCTTCACTGCTTGGGGGAGGTGATAGAATCACCATTTTCTTGGTGGTGGGGGTGGGCCTGGGCTAATCTCCATGAATAAATCCAGTCTGTCTGAATTCAAGGTTATAGGGGTCCCTAAGCCATGCGCTAAATAGTATCAGTAAAAAAATGCTTTGCAAACCTTAAAGAATAATACCAATTCTGACATCTATGTCATAAAGAGTCAGCCACCACTGAAAAACAACTGAACAACAAAACAACACGGGACACTCAGTTCGAGATGTCTAATCGATTCTGAGGTTTGGAACCTGGGTGGTGGTGGTGGTGGTGGTGGTGGTGGTGGTGGTGGTGGTGGTGGTGCGATCACAGATAGGGAAGTTCCAATCAATCAGCCAATCACTCAACATTTATTAAACATCTACTATGTGCAAGGCACTGCATTAAGTTCAGCGATCTGGCTTCAGGGAGAAGCAAGGTGATTTGTTCCCTTTTAGATATACTGAATTTGAGATGCCAGTGGACCATCCTGTGAATTGGTAATGTGAGAAATCAGAGCTGGTCACTGAGGATTGTGAGTCAGCTGTACAGAGATGACAACAGCCCCTCCGAGAAGATGAGGTCCCCAAGGGAGAGAGTGGAGAAAGAGAAGGAAAAAGAGACAACGCTTTCTTCATGGGAAGGACCAACAGAGGCAGGCATCGGTCTGTTCTAGGTAGGTCATCCCAACCTGCTGGGCCAAAGCTTCTCTGGAAACTTGTGGTTTCTCTTCTGGGTACATCCATTGGCTTTCTTCCTCGCTGTGATTCCACAACAATCATTCTGCCTTATTTCACTGTTGTTTGTGTCTTTACCTTTTCATTCCACTAAGCTCCTTAAGGCTGCTAGATGGCTCAGTGGATCAAGTGCTGGGCTTTGAGTCAGGAAGACCTGAATTCAAATCCAGCCTTAGACACTTGTGAGTTGTGTGGTCCTGCGCAAATCATCTAACCTCAGCTTCCTCATCTGTAAAATGGGGATACTAATAGAATCTACCTCCCAGGGTTGTTGTGAGGATCAAATGAGATAATGTTTGTATTTTGCAAACCTTAGAGTGCTATATAAATGCTACTTTATTATTATTATTATTATTATTACTGAGGGTAGGAATAAGGTCTTACTCATATTCAGATTCCCACAGAACCTTGTACATAATAGGTGCCCAATGAATGTTTACTGGATTTGATTCTCTCCAGGCCCCTTCTCTGCTCTATGTTCTGTCTCCACCGTACACCAAATTCCTTACTATATGAACTGCTTTTTGTCTTGCCTTATCATTTGCTACTCCTTCCCTCTCCCAATGGGATCATATGGCATAGGCAGGTTTGGGAAAGTTCCACAAAAAAAGGGTATCTACTAGTCTAGTGGGCAAATAGGACATGGGAATAAAAAACAACTTGGCATCCCAGCCACATGAGTAACGGGTACGTGGATGACAAGAGGTCAAGGCATGCTCCATGCAGTTGGTCACCAAGGAGAGGTCTGACTGGCAGTGCTCTTCCATTTTGTGAGTAGACTGCATAACTGTGGGAGTAGGGTAACGAAAGGCACAAGGTTAACTCTGTTTGGATCATACCAAACCGCACTCTCTGCCCTACCCCTATCTCTGCTGCAGCATGACCTTTGCGGTAAGGTAGCAAAGGCCTAGTAGTTCTTTGGGTTGGCAGAGGTCACCCCCAAGGCCATCCCCTCCCCCAACCCAAGCTCAGAAATGAACCCTGAATCCTCCAGAGTCCAGGGATGGGGAAACCTACAGCCTTGAGGCCAGATGTGGCCCTCTAGGTCCTCAAGTGCGGCCCTCTGGATTCAGCCTATTTACCTACAAGACCATTCACCTACAAGACACGTTCTATGCATCTCATGTTCAGCTCCTTTGTGCAACCACAGAGAACAGGAAAGGAGCTCTGGAGTCGAGGGTTTGGTTTTGGTTTTTGTCTTTGTATTCTCAGGGCTTAGTCAGTCAATAAACATTTATTAAGCACCTAATATATGCTACATACTGTGCTAAGCACTGGGGATACAAACAATGGTAAAAGACAGTCCCTGATCTTAAGGAGTTCACAATCACAATCCAGAGGCAGCTGGTGGCATAGTGGATAAAGCAATGGGCCTAGAGCAGAGATGGAGAACCTGTGGCCTCCAGGCCACATGTGGCCCTCTAGGTCCTCAAATATGGCCCTTTGACTAAATCCAAACTTATTTGTTCTGTGAAGTCTGAATTCAACCCCTGGCCTAGAGTCAGGAAATCTGGGGTTCAAATTTGGTCTCAGACACTTACTAGCTATGCAAGCCTGGGCTAGTTACTTAACCTCTGTTTGCCTCAGTCTCCCCAACTGTAAAATGAAAATTCCAATAGCACCCACTCCCAGCATCATTGTGAGGAATCAAATGGGATAATAATGATAAAGTACTTAGCACAGCACCTGGCACATGGTAAATGATATATAAATGTTAGCTATTAGCTATTACTTTGCAGGGCTGTTGTGAGGATCAAATATTTATACAAACAAAAAACTTCTTAGTGCAGAGCTGGTAAATAGTAGGTGCTATATAAATGCTTATTCCCTTCTCTGCTCCCCTTGGTACAGTCCCTGGCACACAGTAGGTGCTTAATAAATTCTTGTTGACTAATTGAGGCAGTTCTGTGTGATATACAAGAGGTCAGGAGTCCTATATTCTAATACTAGCTCTGTCCCTAATTAGTAGTGTGACCTTGGGAGAGTCACCTAATCTCTTAGGGCCTCAATTTCCCCATCTGTAAAACTGATGGGGTTGGATTCCATGGTTTCTAAGATGCCTCTGATATTCCCAATTTAGGTCCCCCTGTCTTATTTCTTCTGACTTCATCTGGCTCAGTTCCTTTGGACCCTGAGTACATGGGGCTTATTGGCATGGAGGAGGGTAATGTCTGATTCAGATCGGAGCTCTCCCTCTGCCCCTCCTCCAACTAGACCAGGGGAGTTAATGGGAGGGGACAACTCACAGGCTTCCAAGAACTTTTGGCCATAGCTTTGCCTGACTTCAGGGTCCATTCGATCCCACAACTCTTGGTAGCTCTGGCAAAAAAGCTCCTTGTTGGTGATGTTGGTCTTGAAGAAACCAGGCTCAATCATGGCAATCTTCACTCCAAAGCAGTAGAGTTCCCGCCTATGGTAAAGACAGAACAGAAGCACAACAAAGCTGGGCCTGGGAGAAGAGGCTGGGAGTTGGGCAATCAAGAGAGAGCCTTGTACAGAACAGGAAGGGATGGGACGGAGCAGAAGTTAAGGGAGAACATAACACAATAATGCCCTTTCCCTGCCCTACATAGCCCATGGGTGCTCCAAGCTCTTTTGCATACATGATCTTTCTAGGTTTCTCACCACAGCCCTTGGAGGGGTATGTGAGCCTGGGCTAGTCACAACCTGCCAGAGCATCATCTGTAAAATGAGGGCAATAATACTTGTGATGCCTACCTTACAGGGCTGTTATGAGGAAAGTACTTCGAAAATCTTAAAGACATAAAAGTATAATCATTAACATTATTGTTATTTTTATGGAGACAGGCAGGAAAAAGCAGCTGGAGGGTAACTAGGATAAAAGGGACGGTACAAGGGCTTGGGGTGGAATCATGGAGGAGGAAGTGATAAAGACGTGTTAACTGTAACCTCAACAGGCCACATAGACCAGTTAACACCAGCCTGGGAGGTGGCGAGATTCTTCATGAATGTTAAAAGTGGGAGAACGGGCCCGAGGGTGATCCCATTACCTGAGACTGTCAGAGAATGCCTCCACACCATACTTAGAAATGCAGTAGCCACCACCAAAGAGAGACAGCCGGCCCATGACACTGGAGACGTTGATGATCCTGCCCTCGGCCTTCTTCACCAGGGACAGCAGACTCAGTGTCACTTCAATCAGTCCAATGAGATTCACATTGATCACTTTCAGGAAATCCTCTTTGTTCAGCCATTCGTGGGGGGCAGAGGGCAAGGAGATGCCTGCATTATTCACAAGGCCCCAGAGACCTGGGAAGAGTGGAAAGTTCTAAGTAGGGCTCTACTGAGGTTTCAGCAAGTATGGTCACCGTCTTGATGTAAATTCAATTCCGTTCACATTTATCGAGTGCCTATCATCGGCATTTTTAGGTACTTAGTGGGAGTAGACAGTTCACTCACGTTCTAGGAGCTTACACTGTAGGCAGGAAAGACAAAACTTGAAATCATAAGCCTGAAAGAATCCTTAGGGATCATCATCTGTAACTGCCTCATTTTGCAGACAAGGAAATTGAGACCCAGAGAAGTATACAGACTTGTCCATGGTCACATAACTGGTTGGTTGCCTCCTCTTCAACATGCTTCCACAGAAAATAGTTCTGAGGCAAGTATGTGGTCGTACGGAATGGGATCTACTCAGAAGTACTGTGGAAATTCGGAAGCAAGGACAAGGTCATGAAGGGGAGGAGTTAACTAGAGGAGACTCCACAGAGAAGGTGAGTCTATTGAGGTCCTGATTGAGGGTCAGGATTCATTTGTTAGAGGAGCAGATGGGCACAGCATGAGTGACCAGAGAAACAAGTGGATCACATTCGGGTTAGGTTTGAAGGAGAACACTAACCCCAGGGCTGTACACTTCTAAAAGGTGGGAGTTAAGTAAGAGGGACTGATTGGGATTAGTGAGCAAATTAGTTTTACGCATAAATCTGACTTTTCGCTTCCTAGGATGCCTCTAAACTCTCTTCCCTAGCCTGGTCAGGCCCTCCTAAATTTATTGCACTTCATGATCAATACAGTTCCAGAGAAGAGATGAGGGACTATATTTCCCTCCTCTCAGTAGAGAGGTGGTAGAGGAGGAATACAGAATGTCACTCATACTCTCTGACATGGTTGCTATGTCAGCTGCTTTTGCTTAATTTTTTGTTGTCTTTGTTACAAGGGAGGGTTCTCTATTGTGCTATAAGAAATGATGTACTTGGGAAAGCTAGGTGGCACAGTGGATAGCGCTCCATCCTTGGAGTTAAGAGGACCTGAGTTCGAATCCGACCTCAGATACTTGACATTTCCTAGCTGTGTAACCCTGGGCAAGTCACTTAATCCCGACTGCCTCACCAAAAAGCAAAAAAATGATGAACTCGATGATTTTAGAAAAACATGGAAAAGACTTGCAAGAAATAATGAAGGGCAAAACGAGCAGAACCAAGTGTATACAGTAAGAGCAATATTGTTTTAAGAATGACTTTGAGTGAATAAATTATTTTGACTATTATAAATACCCAAACTAACTATAAAGGATATACGAAGAAAGATGCTATTTGCATCCAGAAAAAGAACCAATAGATAGAAGTATATATAGAACAGTTTTTTATATATGTATATTATATATATATATATATATTTGTGTCTAATGTTAGTCACCTCTAGGGTGGGGGGGAGGGAAGAAAAATAGGAAATAAAAGAAATTTATATCATAATTTTGTTGTATATTTGAAAGAAATAGCAAGTTGTGAATAGTAGATTTGCAGTTTCATGTGCAATCATCTTTTTATTGTACTATGTTATAGAAATGCTTGTTTTATTACATAAATTAAAAATTAAACTAATTCTTTTAAAAAAGGGAGGGTTCTGCACTTATGGGGTGCTATATTGGGAAATGACTGGTATTAGAAAAGAGATTTCAAAAAGCCTTTTTTTAGAACAAATACATAATTATTTAATAAAAAAGCATTAGGCGGCCTCCTCTCTTCTGCCCCACACAGGATCCTCTAAATATGACACAATAGAAAGAGAGGCCATATAACAGAGTACAGCACTTGAAGAGTTGTGTCCCAACCCCATCTCTGACACTTTCTAGCTGTGTGACCTTGGATAAGTCACTTAAAATCTCCAGGTCTCTTTTTCCTCATCTGTAAAATAAAGGGTTAGGACTTCTCTTTCTCTAATCTTCAGCCTCTCCAGACTGCTTTCAAACAGTCTCTTCCATCCTTTAAAACACACACACACACACACACACACACACACACACACACACATACACACACTCCTTAACTATATCTCTCCTTTTTTCATCCAAACTCCTAGAAAAAGACGTCTATACTCATGGACTCCACTTCCGCTCTCAAACACTACTCAACCCTTTGCAAGTTAGATTCGTATCTTATCACTCAACTGAAATTTCTCTCTCCAAAGCTACCGGTAGTCTCTAATTGCCAAATCCATTGGTCTTTTCTCAGCCCCCATTCTGCTTGTCCTCTCTGCATCATTGGATACTGTTGACCTAGCATCATTGTTTCCTCCTACTACACAGAGTCTCCTCCCAGGGTGTTTCCTTTGTTGATCCATCATCCATGTCATTCTCCCTGATTGTGACTGTACCCCAAGGCTCTGTCTTGGGCCCTCCTCTCTTCTTTTCTTTCTCTCTCTCCTCTCTTTTCTCCCTCATCTCCTCCTCTTTCCCTCCCTCTTCTTAAAAATTCAAATGAAAGTATTTAAGAAGTAAATAGTTCTTCAGTCTAAACTCCTTCCAGACTCACTTGAAGGAAGGAAACTTTATCAGTAAGTAACCCAACTTCATCCTTTCTTATAGCACAATAGTATTCGATCACATTCACATGCCATAACTTGTTCAGCGCTTCCCCAATTGGGGGGTTCCCTTCAGATTACAATTCTTTGCTGCCTCAAAAAGAGCTGCTCTAAATGTTTTTTGTAAATTCTTATTTTGTTTTGCTTAGGACTAATCCCTCTCTTAATCTATTCTCCCTCCCCTTCTCTCTTTTCCCTCTTATTTCTCTGTTGAGTAAAATATATTTCTGTACCCAATTCTGTGTGTGTGTGTGTGTATTCTTCCCTTATTTGACTAGTTCAGATGAATGGAGGTTCAATGGTGACCTGTTCCCACCACCTCTCCCTCCTTGACTTTTATTTACTTATATATGTGAGATGATTATATGAGATGATTTTCCCCAAATTTCCTTTCTGTTCCCCCACCCCCAACCAGTGGACTCCTCTTTGCCTCTCTTTTAATTCTTCTTCTTAAGATCATTCAAACATAACAGAACCACTCCCAAGTCTTTTGTCTACTTAGACCCCCTCTATGACCCCTAGTAATGATAAGGCCAAAGGTATTCTTTAAAGATGAAATGACTATCTATTGGCTGAAGTAGAATATTAAACTGTATCTTCTCATGAAATTGTTCTTGTTCAAGATGCCTATAAATGTCATTTCAAAATATCTTGTATTAGAGACATGTCCAAGGGCATGAGGAGAGACTGTCAATTTAGATCTCTCTCTCTCTCTCCCTCACACACAGACAATGCTTAAATTTAGAATAATGACAAATTAATAAAAAATTAGCAGCCTTGTGCCTAAAACTCAGAGTGTAGTGTTAATATTCAATAAATTGGATATCCCAGAGGAGTCTCAAACTCATTATGTCCAAAACAAAACTCCTTTCCTCCAAACCTGCCGCTCTTCTGAACTTTTTCCCATTTTGAGATAACTTCCTCGTCATCTTGGACTCTTCACTCTCTCTTCATTGCACATATTTTTTTTCTTTTTTTTTCTTTCAGGCAATTGGGGTTAAGTGACTTGCCCAGGGTCACACAGCTAGTAAGTGTAAAGTGTTTGGTCTGGGGCCCGATTTGAACTCAGGTCTTCCTGACTTCAGGGCTGGTGCGCTATCCACTCTGCCACCTAGCTGCCCCAGCACATATTTTTTCTTAAGGACCATGCCTTAAACCCAAATCACTCTGGTTCTCATTGATTGGCCAACAATAGGTTCCAGGCCAAGCCCCACGTGGTCATTGTTTGGGCCCTGATTGGCTCAGAGTGAATGTAAATAGCAATTGTTTCTGTTTTGCCTGGAAACCCTAAAGGTCTTCCCCCAGATTAATAATTTTTTTTGACTAGGTAAAAAAAGGCCATTCTCTGCCTCATTTCTTATCTAGTCTTAATCACTGAATGGGCCTTGCCTCAGTCAAACTGAGACCTGTTAAAGACCTTAGCTTAAAAAGGCCAAGGTCTCCTACTACATCCAGGGCCATCTCCAGTCATTCTGATCTATATGTTGCCACTGACCCCAGATGGCTCAGGAGGAGAAAGTGAGGCTGGTGATTTTGCACAGCCCTTCCTCACTTAAATCCAATTCACTTGCATGTCATAGCATCACCTCCTTGATGTCATAGTCCTTTTTGAGAATGAAGGACAAATAACAACAATATACGCAACTAGTTACCAAATCTTGCCATTTCTGTCTTCACAACATTTCTCACCTCCAACTTCTTCTCTCTCTCTACTTACACAGTTACCATCTTAGCTCATGCCCTCATCTCACCCATACTATTGCAGTGGCCTCCTCAGTGGTATCCTTGCCTTGTCTCTCCCCACCATAGTCCACACATAATCAGGGTACAAAAGCAGAAGTCTATACAAACAAGGAGGAATGCACTTGAACCTTCCTCTTATCTGAACTGGTCAAAGAAGGGAAGAATACACACACACTTACAGAGTTGGGTATAGAAATAGATTTCATTCAACAGGGAAATAAGAGGGAAATGGGAGAAGGAGAAAGGGGAATTAGAGGGAAGGCAGATTAAGAGACAGATTAGTCCTAAGCAAAACAACTCTAAGAAATTAAAAAATTATATTTATAGCAGCTTTTTTTCTGAGACAGAAAATAATTGAATCTGAAGGGGCACCCACCAATTGGGAAAGGCATAACAAGCTATGGTATGTACATGTGATAGAATACGCTTGTACTGTAGGAAATGACAAAAGGAATGGTTTCAGACAAACCTCAAAAGACTCGTGTGAACTCACACACAGTGAAGGGAGCAGAACCAGAACAAGTTTGTAACCGTGACAACATTATAATGACAAACAGCTTTGAAAGACTTGGGAACTCAGATCAGTTTAAGGACCAATCATGACTCCGGAGGACTAAGATGAAACATGCTACCCATCTCCTGATAAAGGAATGAAGATTATTGTTGTTGAGATGTATGTAAAGGCTTACTGTTGGAGGACAGTGGTTGTGTTAACTGCCTTCCCTGTCCCCTACCCCATACCCACCACCACCCACCATTCTGAGTTGGCTGAAAGGGAAGATGCTGGGGTACAGAAGTGTATCTCATTCATCCAATATTTGATATGGAAGGGACAATTTACAGGGAGCAAGGGGATGACCGGGGAAAGGAACTATTTAAGATTGGTCAGGGAAGGAATCCTTGAAGGAAGTTTGTCCATATTTGTTGGCTTTACATATCTGTATATATCTGTTGTCTCTCCCATTAGATTGTAAGTTCCTTGGAGGTACACTTGTGACAGAAGAACAATTTTCTGTAGGAGCAGAGTATCAAAAAAGACCAACCATCAGTGTAAATGCAAGCTTCTAAGGGCTAGGTTCAAAAAAGAAACAGGCCCAAGCTAGGGTTAAACAGTAGGCACTCAAGCATTTGCCAGATGTCAAATTTACATAAGATACTATCAATTCAAGAGCTGGCTTAATGTGACCTGGTTTTCTGTTCTTTGACTTGTTACCACTGCCCAAATTCAGGAGTAACTTGAATTTTCTGCACTTTCGAATTTCTAAAAGCGAATAAATACAGAAAGTAAAGTGAAAATCCAGAACATACTGGAAATCATCCCAGTTATCTGAATAGGGTCCATCTCTTGGATATGTTTTCTCCTTTCCTCTGCTACCACTTCTAGCTCAAAAACATCCTCTTTTACGTAAACTATCAAAATAGCCTCAAAAAGAAGCCTCCCTTTGATCTTTCCCTCCCCAAAGCAATGTGTTACTCGTCTGCTTAAAAATCTTCAGTGGCTCCCCATTGCCTACAAAATAATTATAAACTGCTAATCCTGGCATTCAAGTTTCTACACAGTCTTGTCTCCCACACTTCTGCTCAACTTTTCTTGCTCACCTTGACCACTGAGAGTCTCCATTCTCATCCTACTATTTCCATTCATCTGCTCAACTCATACCACTGCTCCCCCATCCATACCTGAAATGGACTCCCTCCTTCCCCACGTCTGCCTGTTGAAATCTTTCCTTCTCTATGAAGACTCATGTGGCTACCCTAGCTAAAAATGATTGCGGCCTCTTAAAAATTTCCCACAGAGATTTTGATTCTCTACTCTGAACATATCTTATTGTCCTTTATATTATAAATTATTTGAATACACATAATCTCCATATGATACTGTAAAAGTTCATTAAAAGAAAAAAATCTTATTTTCCTAGTACAGTACTTTGCATGCAGTAGGTGCTTTACAACTGTCAAACTGAATTTCTTCCTAGAAACAAACTGAATGAAGAAATCTGGATTATACCTTTGTTTCCCACACGTTCCTTCACCCACTGGGCAGCTGAGGTAATGCTCTCAGTTTTGGTTACATCCAGGATCACTGTCTCTACTCTGTCTGAAGTCCCACGCCTCAGCTGCTCGGCCCCTTTCTCTGTCAGACAAGCTGCTAGCACCCTCATGCCTCGAAGGTCCAGCTGCTTGGCCAGCAGGTTCCCAAATCCAGAGTCACAGCCGGTGATAAAAACATATTTGTCTTCAAGGTTACTCACCACCTGCCTCTCCTGATACCAACGAAAGAGATTGTAAAGGCCAATGAGGCAGGCCAGGTACAGCCACATGTCTATAAGAGACAAAAAGCAGAACAGGATAGGACAGGGTCAGTGAAGCAGTCTCACATTTATCCTTCTGGGTGGCTTGGATTGTGTGCCTTGGCATGAGATACTAATGTTTCTACCAATTACGAAGCCGGCTTGTCTGGTAACACCATATCGATGTGTGACCTGATTTTCTCTTCTTTTTTCTCTACCACCGCTCAAAGCCACCACTCAAATGTCAGAAATAGAAAATTCCACCCTTCCCTCTCTCCACACACAGCAATCTCTGTTGACTGAAAACATTATTGGAAAAGAGTTGTTCTAGACCCACATGTCGCTGAAAATTCATTCCTACGACATAACCTAATGTAAGCACTGCAATATATACCAGACTTTCTGTGTAAATGTCCTTACCTGTTAGTTTGAAAATTTCTTCAGGGAAGGGACTGTATTTCTCAACTTTGAATCTCTAGTACTCTGAGGCTTGCTAAATCTTGGTTAAACGTCAACTGAATATTCAGTGGCAAGGAATGAGTATCCATTACCCAGACCCAGGGCAAAAGTACAAAGATGAACTGATGGTCCTTTACCCTTTGGGCGTTGTCTCCCTGTTCAACTTCCTATAGGCTGGTGGAACAGTGCCAATTTAAATCAGAGGGCCTTGATCTTCACCAATATCAGGTCCTTGGCTTCCTTATGTATAAAATCAATACACTGGTCTAATTCTGAGGTTCCTTCTCACTCTAAAGACTAGGATCCGATGATTCACCCCTTCCCAATTAACTCAGTCCCTTTAAACTCTCCATAGTACCACCCCTCAACAATTCTCCCTCTTTTAATCCATCAAAACTTCTGGGAGAGGGAGAGGGAAAAGGAAAAGGGAAGGAAAAAAAAGATGTGGGAGTGAAGAGGGGAGCTTTCCTGGGTTCCTCTGAGGACAAGTTTTTTACAGATGTCAAAGTGCTATATAAAATGACGCCAGCCGCTGCTGTTACTGCTCCTACTATTTTTCTCATTCTCCTCTTATATTTGTTCAAATTCAGATAGAAACAGTTGCTATTGTTGAAAAAAAAAAAGGGGATATGGAATTGGTTAAAAAAAAAAGTATTAGAAGATAACAGTGCCCCTTCCTATTTCCTGTCAGGCTAAGAAGAGGCAGCATTCGTCGGGTGTATAGGGAGAAGTTACTCAGCAGCAGCCTCAGTTTTGGCTACCAATGCTCCCTCCGTCCTCTAGTTGTACTGTGTGAAAGACAGAGGCTAAGAGGGAGAAAGGTCATTTTGTTCCACATACGAGTCCTAGGCTCATCCCTCCTCAGGCTGAGGTGGGGATCAAGGACAGGAAGGCACAGGCTAATTAATCGCCCTGACAGCCCCAGGAAAGAAACAATACCTGACTTAAAGTGTCCTGCTCTGTATCTGCAGTTCTGTCTCGAACTTCAGATCCTCCCTGAAGAGCTGAGGCCCTTCCCTCCTTCCTGGGACAATTGCCTGATCCCTGCCTTGAACTTTGGGTAGAGGGGTGGGGAAACGGAATCCAATCGATGGTTGGGAAAGAGATTTCAAAAATTGTGTGTGTGGGTCGGTAGTGAGTTCGTCATTCGAGAGAGACAGGAACTCTTGCAAAATCCCCGCATTTTAAGTTGGCCAACAGGAAGTAGGCAGAAGTTATTTTTTTTTAGTGAAAAATGTTATATTTTATTTTTTCCAATTACATGTAATAACCAACTTTAAACATTTTATTATTTATTTTAATTTTTTTCTTTTTGAATTTTGAGTTTCAAATTCTTTCCCTCCCTTCCATTTCCTCTCCCACACACTGTGGTATCACTTACACATATGAAATCATGCAAAATACGTTTTTATTATTAGTCATATTGCAAAAAAATAAAAAGCAAGAAAATTATACTTCAATTTGCACTCAGAGCTCATCACACATATGAAATCATGCAAAATATGTTTTTATTATTAGTCATATTGCAAAAAAATAAAAAGCATGAAAATTATACTTCAATTTGCACTCAGAGCTCATCAGTTCCCTCTCTGGAGGTGGAGAGAATATTTTTCATCAAGAATCCTTTGGAATTGTCTTCGATCATTGTAGTGATCAGAGTAGCCAAGCCTTTCATAACTGATCATCATTACAACGCTGCTGTTACTGGGCATAATGATCTCCTTCTCACTCCACTCTGCATAAGTTCACAAAGGTCTTGCCATGTTTTTCTGAAACCATCCAAAGCATTTCCCAAAGCACAATAGTACTCCATCACAATCACATGTCACAACTTGTTCAGTCTTTCCCCAACTGTTGAGCATCCCCTCGATTTCCAATTCTTTGCCACCACAAAAAGAGCTGCTATAAATATTTTGCATGTAGAGGTCCTTTTCCTTTTCCTTTGATCTCTTTGGGATGCAGACCTAGTAGTGGTATTGTTGGGTCAAAGGCCACAGTTTCATAGCCTTTGATCCTAGTCACAAGTTGTTTCTGAGAAAGGTTAAACCAGTTCACTACTCCACTAACAATTCATTAGTGTACCTATTTTACCTTCAAACCCTCCAGCATTTGTTATTTTGATAGGTGTGAGGTAGTACTTCAGAGTCGTTTTAATCTGCATTTCTCTAATCAATAGTCATTTAGAGTATTTTTTATTTTATTTTATTTTAGGCAATTGGGGTTAAGTGACTTGCCCAGGGTCACACATAGAGGATTTTTTCCATATGACGATTATGTAGCTTTGATTTCCTCTTCTGAAAACTGTTTGTTCATACCCTTTAACTATTTATAAATTGGGAATGGCTCTTATTTTTATAAATTTGATGCAGTTCTATACCCAGTATATATTTGAGAAATGAAGTCATCAGAGAAACTTACTGTAAAATTTTTTTATATTACTTCATTGTCTATGATACTTTTTAGTAAAATGTAGTTTCCCTTTTAATAAGAATTTAATGAGGATTGTCCCTTTTAATTAGATCTCTTTTTGTTTTTGCTTTGTCTGGGATCATGATTGCTACCCCTGATTCAGCTTCTTTTGTTCTTTATCATTTATAAAGGTTTTTAAAATTTGTTTGTTTTTATAATATTGATGTTATAATAGAAATTGTTCCCCTGTTTCTGCCTGTTAACACTCGTAACTGTTTACACAAGTTTTTCCATGTCTCTTTGAAATCATCTATTTCCCCATTTCTTACTGCATGATATTCAATAAACAGAAGCGATTAGCTGGCACAGTGTAGAGTGTTGGGCCTGGAGTCAGGAAGATCTTAATTCAAATCCAGCCTCAGGCACTTATTACTATGTAACTCGGGGCAAGTCACTTACCCTTAGCCTCAGTTTCCCTATCTGTAAAATGGGGATAATAATGGCACCTACCTCCCAGGGTTATTGTGAGAATTAAATGAGATGATAACTGTAAAGTGCTTAGCACAGAGCCTGGCACATAGCAAGTGCTATATAAATGTTACCTATTATTATTATTATTGTTATTAGAAGCATTTACTATGTGTCAGGCACTGTACTAAGTGTTGGGGAGAGAAGGTACCTATCACAGGAACATAATGAAGACCTGTAACTAAGGAGGGAAATGATCTGAGGAAGTGAGAGTTTCAGAGTTGATATCATCTTGCAGAATGATGAATTTCTGAAGATTGTGAAGTCCCATCAAGGTAGGAAATAATGAGGTGAATTCCCTGAAAGCCCCTTCTTAAATAGTAGAGGATTGGGGAGGAGCTCTCTCCAATCAGAACGAGGGAGGGGTTCCAGGGGCAGAGGGTGCTGAGGAGATGAGATTTGTTAATGGTTGAATATTGTGGTAATTAATGTAATGAGATGTTACTGCATCATAACAAACAATGAATTTGAACATGGTGTCTGGAGGTGAAAGGTGGTCCACTATAAGGGGTAGTATGTCCAGGTCTGAGCATCAGTTCTTAAGGATATAGGAATAAAAGGTCTTTGAGCGCCACGGGCAAGGCTAGAAGCTGAAACTGCCACAGTATATAATATCAAAAGATACTCTCAGGTAAATTACACCAAGTTGCCATTACTCAGTTTCCCCATATTGGATTCAAAAGCAAAAATTTCACAGTCATGCATCTATATTTATGTGTTCTGCATATGCACTCTGGGAGATTATTAACTTTAAAAAATGTTCTTTCTCTGTCTCTCTGTCTCTGTCTCCGTCTGCATCTCTCAGAGCTTTCTGAGTTCTGGTTCCCACCTTCAGTCTCTGCTTAGGAAAAAAAAAGGTATGCTCTTTCCTCTAACTCTCAAACCTCATGAGTAAAGAAATGACACTGAGGCACTGCAGTGTTGGAGAAATGAGCTGCCTTCCCCACATGTATTCCCTACATATATGCCTCACGACTAATGTAATTTGTGACCACTCTTCCCAAGGATGTGAGAAAGCAAATTTTAAAAATTCCCTTTTTAGTTTCTCTAGAAATATTTAGTATTATTTTTCTCTAACCTAAGACCAGTTCCAGACCTTTCCCTTTAAGAAAGGAGAAAGAACAAAATCTAAGACATTCCTTTGAAATGGAGTAAGGGTGATAACCAAACTCACTCTGGTTTCTAAGATCATCGACTCCCCACCTGAAGTCATTGGCTCCATGACCCACGCCAAGTCTTCTCTTTTGAAATTTAAGGCAAGATATTGATCGTAGGAAGAAGTCTTATGGGAAAGTAGTCCAAGAAGGAACTGAGTGAATTTTAACCCCCAAACTTCCTTCCTTTTCACTCCTTAATTCTACTGCCTAGCTTCCAACCTCATCATTCAACAGAAACTGCCCTCTCCAAAGCTACCAACGATTTCTTAATTGCCAAATGTAACGGTCTTTTTTTTTCTAATCCTTATTCTCCTTGTCCTCTCTGCAGGCTTTGACACTGCTGATATTCTCTTCTCTCTAGGCTTCCATGACACTACTCTACCCTGTCTCCTCCTACCTGTCAGACTACTCTTTCTCAGTCTCCTTTCTTGAATTTTCATCCAGGTTATGCTTGTCTTCTGGTCATATGTGAGTCAAGGGCTTATACTGCGTGATAAGAAAACTTCTGAGTCAGAATTGAGTGAGTATACCAAAAAAGGCAACCTGATCCTTTACTGCTCCCTTTTCCTTTCAGCTTTGATAGAGTCAGGGCTGCTCTAAGATGCTTTCCAGAGCTGAGAGATGCAAAAGCAGCTGCCCTGTCCTTCCTACCCCACCAATCCCTGCTTTGGCAGCTGTGTGCATCTGGCTTCCTTTGTCTTTTTGTGCTTGTTACTGTCCAGGCAGCAACCCTATAAGGATCAAAAGGTCTTGTCTGTAGCTGTGGCATTAATGATGGTATCCACCAGATTGGTAGTGATTCACTACTAGTAGTAGGAGCAGCAGCAGTAGTAGTAGAAGTAGCAGTGAGCATTTATATAGAGCCTATTATGTGCCAGCACTGTGCTAAACACTTTGATCCTCACCATAATCCTGAGAGGTGGATGCTATTATGATCTCTATTTTATAGATGAGGAAACTGAGGCAGACAGAAGTGAAGTGATTTGCCCAGGGTTACACTGCCAGTAAGTATCTGAGGCTGGATTCAAACTCAGGTCTTTCTGACTCCAGGCCC